TAATTTACGCACACGTGTGTCTCTCCCCCCCCCCTTCTTACTTTCTCGCTTTCTGCCTCTCCGTCGGTGACGCAACTGTTTGAACGCGATAAACCAGTGACTTCTCCCCACGTCGACGTGTGTGTAATTATAATAGTGAGCTTTCCATAAACGTTTCGCAGAGTATGAAGATGAAGAAGCACGAGGAACTGGAGACGCCGACCTTCACCACGAGTATCCCGATCGAGGTCAACGACGATTAGACACACCGTGCGCGCGGACCCTCCTTCAAAGTCGGGTCTGCGATCGCGTGACTTCGATTAGACATTGAGATCGGCCGGCCTAGCGAGACGACGACGAGTCGACGCCTCTGAAGCGGAGTTTCAACGGCACGCCTTTTTTGTAATTTAATAACCAGCAGCAACGAAAACGACCGATAGAATCCGTTGGGACTCCTCCCGTCTTTCCCAGCTGCCGAGCTCTCGTGGTCGTCGCCGCGTCATTGATCGGTACATATTTTCTACTAATCATTGTTAGAATTGTCATCGAGTCTTTCTTCTCTCTCTCTCTCTCCTCTCTCTCTCTGTGTATCTTTTCCTCTTCCTCCCCTCTCTTTCTATACCTTTGCGAGGATTCAAGTCACATGTGAACGAATTAGCTTTTTTACCGCAAGCGACGCGAAAACATATACAAGTGCATTTAAGGCTTTCGACAAATCTTACAAGTGATTCTTAAAGTATTCGGTCTCCTTCCTCTCTTCGTTGCTGTACTTTTCCATTACGTACGACAGGTGTACGTAGTTTTGACCTGAGTAGTATTAGTAAGATTTCAATTTGCTACTGTTGATTTAACGATTGAGTTTATAACGGAGGAAGCGATGGTTTCTCGCCGTTCCGGCGAAACGAACCGCGGGAACCAACACGACGAATGCAAAAGAAACGTATGCGTCGAGCGGAAAAACCGAATTGGTGCCATTGTTTAATGATTTTGGGGTCTTTGATAAAATTGATTCTTTCGCATAGCGGCGTAACTGTTATCATGTAGGATAAAAAACGTAAGTGAACTGAATTAGACTACGAAGTAAGTACGAGACGCGTTTCGTTGCTGTTTCCAAGTTGCGAGCATAAATGTCATCTTGTACTTTTAGACTTCTTTTTCATCGCCACCGCTCCTTCGTGTCACGCAAGTTGATGAGAACCAAGATACTTAAACATGACTGAGTCATTCGTATTAACGAATTTAGAGGTACGGTGTTCGCGGAATCGTAAACAGGTCTTCTCTTTAACACGACTTTTTAGGGGTTTTACGCGTTATCGTGCGTCCGGTGCATTTTTTTCTCGATATACGTAGAAAAAAAAAGGAGAGGCGTCCATTGCGAAACACGCGATTCAGAGTGCGTACGTTTCTTCTGAATTCCGCAGCGTAGTACGACGCATTTTGTTATTCTCGTTTCATTGTTAACACGTTTACATATTGAGTTAATAAATGAGGTGAAACGAAAAACGGATATCGCGAATGATCGATGCTCCATGACGTTTCTCTCTTTTCTCTCTCTTTCTCTCTCTCTCTCTCTCTCTCTCTCTCTCTCTCTCTCTCTCTCGAGTCGGGCTAGTTGGAAGCATTTAATTAAAAAAAAAAAGGAGAACATCTCGACACCACTTATTTCCACTAATACACGATCCACTGTGCTCTAAAGGCAGAAAACGAAAAACGAGCAACTGTGTCTACTCGATATTCCGTATTAGTAATTCTATTATAATTATTATTACTATTATATATTATATATTATTATTTTGGTTTATATACCCGTAGAAATGTCAATATACCAGTGTTTACAGTAACATTCGTTACACCCTCGTTATTCATCACTGCGAAAATGTTCGACTCTAACAACTCCTTTTGTCCGTACTACGTGATCTGAATTATCTATTGATGAAAATTAAATGAAGATCACTCCGTAAGATGTAGAACAAAGAATTTCCTCAATATGTAACTTTAAATACGCTAATTGCGCGGATTGTCCCTATTCCCGAGTATTCGGGTACCCATCTATCGCCTAACTTCACGGATATGGTTGGAGTATTTCCGGATAATTCCTGTGTAGTCAGCTACCCGGGTACTCGGATTGATCGGTTTTCTCGAGTATTAAGCGAATACTAAAAATTATTGATAAAAAGAGCGTAACAATTACGTTCCTCTCCCGACACGGAGAGGATGCAAGATCCGAATATAATTTACAGAGCCAGGTTTTCCAGCTTTTGTAACAGATAAGTTAAAGACGCTACGTCACAAGGCATAACATTAATATATACAACCCAGTCTGTAAGAAACATTAAATCAATCGTTTAAAACATTGATTTTATGTGAATTTTATAAATATTTTGACACTTATATTTTATTAGTGTATTTACAAATTTGTTACTTGATAATATAATATTCCGGAATATTAAAATCGTAGTGTGGAAATATTATTTTTCATGTTTGGGCCAAATACTGTTAACAATGACGTTGCATACAATATTAAGAACTATATATTTGAAAACGTTACAGGTTAATGAGATGTCATTGTAATAATGCTACGTTAATGATTTTTTGCTTACTGGATATTATATGTTATGTCATATATTTAATTAGCGCCTTTTCGTATATTTTTACACAATACTCGAATATTTCACGTGATCTTTAGTGTCCGGGTAATAAGAAAATCAGCTAACTTGGGTACCCGGATATCACCCTCAGTTCTGGGAAATACTCCGCACACTCGGGGTATTAACTGGGTACTCGAGTACTCTGGTGTTGACGGCACAAGCGAAGGTAAGTCTTAAACGCGTTAAATAATCGCAAGTATCGTTTATCTGTAATGACGCGACCTCGCCGCTTTTCTCTGAGGTTCTCCAGCCTCGACTCGCGTTCCCTCACTTTCTCGCCACTAGATCGATCTAATTTTCCCCGCGGCGGTCGGTATTTTTGCGCGAGTTTCCGGAGGACTCGCGCCGGACGAGATCGGGCGCACGTAGATACATATGAGAGAGAAAGAGAGGGAGGGAGAGAGTGCGCGCCCGAGTCTCTCGTACGCGCTTTAAAATAGCCCGCGCGTTCCTGCCGTCGCCACCCCCGCGCCGCTCTCGGCCGCGTGACTGTGGCGAACTATTATGACGCGTCTTCCATTCATAAATAGGATGGCACTTGTCGGCGCGCGGCGGCCATCTTGACTACGTGATCGCGCCAGTTTCCGTGGACGTCGTTCGATCGTCGCCATCGTAGCGCGGCGTTCTCGAAAAAAGAAATCCGTGCGACACTCGCCCGGGGAAAACCTCGCCCGTCGTGCGGCTCGCTCGTCATCGTCGTCGGTCGATCTGGTGCGCCTCACGGGAACTGTGGCGAGTAGCGCGGTGGTCGGTACGCAGTGCACAGCTGATCAGTAGCCCCGACGGACGGTAGCTGCTCGGCTCGTCGTCTCCGCAAGCCTGCTCCTTCACGATAACGTGAAAAAAAACGCGGGGAGAAGCGAGGAAAGGAGATAAGAGAGGAAGGAACGCGCCGGAGGAGAGGCTGGTGCGCGGATCGGCCGCGTGCGTCGCGATCGTGCACGGTGACAGGTGAAAACCCGAAAACGAGAAGGGAAGAAAGACGAAAAAAAGAGAGAGAGAGAGAAAGCGAACGAGCGAGCGAGCGAGAGACAAGACAGAGAAGACGCGAACGAGCGAGTGTGACAGAGAGCGTGAGCGAGGGCGCGCGCGCGCGAGATAGAGAGAGCGAGAAAGAGAGAGAATTCGCTCTGGTGGACGACAAAGCGCGCGCGGATCCTCTCGGCGAGCGACCGGAGTGCCGTTGGCCCCTTCCTTCTGCTACGCACGAGGAAGAGAAAGAAGAAGAAGAGGAGGAGGAGGTGGTGCACAGCAGTAGCAGCCGCTCGTCGGACTTTTCCGATGGTTACCGTCCGGTGAGTCAAAACGTCTACTTGTTCGGTCGTCGCCGGGACGAAAGTTCGGGTCTAAAAGCGGCGCTCCTCAGGCCGTCGTCGTCCATATCGATAGAGATGAAGACGACGACGACGACGCCGCCGCCGTCGTCTCGTCACTCGCACTCTTCGTCGCCGTGAGGAGCGAGGGAAAGAGGGAGCGCGCGGCGGAGCGCACTCTGACTTTTACTCGCATCCGTCGGACACCCCACGCGGCACGAAAATACACCTGCGATGGAATGCACTGGATGGATACACCGCAATAACAATGCGTGCGTGTTCTAGAAATTCGGGCATTGTAGGGCCTCTCTCTCTCTCTCTCTATTGCGCTTTTCGTGCCCTCCCCCTTCTTGCTCCTCGATGAGCCTGCGGGAACGGACGGGTCTGTCGAAGTTATTATGTGGTCTCAAATGGTATTTCGGCGACTGTGATCGGGGATCTTCGGTGAGGACGAAGGAACGGGGCGAGAGGAGGATTTGCAAGGTCCGTCTTGGAGATAAATGTGATTGCAGCCCGTTCGCTCCGTCTTTATTGGTATGCTTCTGCATTCCACACGGGATAAATAATAATAATAATAATAAATATGCGTTCTCTCGAATCTTTGTCCTTTACAAATCGCGAGGCTCTTTCGTTTTCTCGCCGAAGTCCTCGACTTCCTCTTGGACGCTCTACATCGTGTTCGTCAGCGTCCACGCTGAATTGTGCTTTCTCGAATGTCGAAATTGAAGTTCAAATGTTGAAATTTGACTTTGTCCGGTCGCAAAATAATTGAAAAATATAAGAAATTCGAATTGCCGGGTCTCTTTCGTGTTACCGTTTGTAGTGTTCGAATTTACGTTCCCGGAACTCGCGTCGGTTTCGATACTTGCGTAAGTGACTTACGACAATCTTGTTTGGATAATCCACTGTAAATTCCCCAATGACGAGGAAAAAGGAAAGAGGAAAAGAGAGAGAGAGAGAGAGAGCCGTGATTTGCATGCACGCGAGTAAGTTATTACGTGTTCGTGTAAAAACGCGAGCTATATGGTGAAAACGCAAACAAGCTGCATGAGATAAAAAATTTGTATAAATTAAAAATTCACATGTAAGCAGGGATATAATTTTGCATGAAAATAAAGCTTGTTTACACACGAAGAAGTTTTATGTAGTTCGACGAGAAATATATTTTATTATTCAAGATTAATTTTCATAAATTAAGAGGAAAAAATTGGATAGCAATTGAATAACAAGAATATGTTTTTCGTGGAACTATATAAAATTTCTTCGTGTGTAAACAAGTTTTATCCTCAACTAAAATTGTAAATTCTTGCGCTTACATATGAGAATATAAGTTTCGAATTGATACTAATTTTCTTCCATATAATATTTCTTTGACATACCGATAATCTATCAGGTTGTTCGATAAGTTTATAAGGATTTTTACGAAGAATCCTGAAATGATATCTTTACAGTTAGGCATAACTTTATTATCTTCGCTTTTTTCGATGATCTGTCATAAAAAAAGAACCGTCAGTACACAAAAAAATTAGTCTTAAATCAATAAAAAGAAATAAATAGATATTCTTATACATAAGCAAGAATATTATAAACTTCTTAGGAGATTTTTGTTTTGAATTGAGTTCAAGTAATATTTACATCAATACAAGTCATAATTCAATCAAATCAAGACTAAAAATCTAAGATCATAATATTCTTTCTTATACATGAGAATATATATTCTTGACTTGAGAATAATTTTTTCCTGCCAGAATTCCGACGTTCCTGCGAGCATTCCGGCGCTCCTTTGAGAATTCTTCAAATCGGTCAATCGTTCGAAACAAATAGTTTTGCACAATTAGCAAATTTATTGTTAAAGAGGAGGAAGAAACCTTAGTGGAAGTACAAAGCAATATAACAGCGCAATCAAGGATGAGACGCGAATTCCATCGGACACGGGAATTCTCGGGGCGATTATCGCACTTTGGAAAAGAGTACGTTTGCTTTCGCCGTCGATGCGCCCGTCGGTAGAAGCGGCAAATATTTATGGTTCTTTCTCTGCGGGAGTGAGCGAAATTTGCGCAATCGACGATAGATTAATCACCAAACACGCTCGGCACTTCTCTGCGCGAATAACTCGACACTGGGTCACGCGTGAATTCTCGCGACGGGTGGAAGCGTCCCCATTAGTACGTGTAATTCTTCCTCGAGGGGGTGCGCGAATTGCGAATCGTGATCGTGAGAGTGGCCAAAGTCGCGTATCTTTCGCTCCGAGACTTTAATTGAGACAAATTTTAAGGAGATCCAACGTGAGACACCCCGTATGTAGGCGGCGACGGCGGTGTTTGCGGATTCTCCCATGTGTGAAAGAGAAAGAGAGAGAGAGAGAGAAAGAGATGGAGAAGAGGAGAGAGAAAAAAGTATATTATTTTCAGTATATATAGGTGGGTGTTTATTTTTGCCGCGCGGTCGCGACTTATCGCGGCTCTGCTTAACGTTAACGGTGAGTCCCTCGTCAATTATTATTCTTGGTTCCTTATTTTCGTCTGGTGGTCGACTTGACGCCCCCGACGTACGTTAAACTCCACGCCACGCGGATTAGCCGCCATCAGGCCTCCACTCCATGAGACGTCGAACGCGAGCGTGGCGTCGCGACGCCGAGAGAGATCCGTCTTGACGAACGAGACGGACAATAATAATGATATCACAATAGTAGTAATTACGTAAGATTTCCCTCGGATTTGGGCGTGACACGATCTTCACGAACATATCGGTCAATGGCGGAAGGATCGTGACACTTTTACACCTCAATGCACTCTTTGGCACGCATCCGTTATTCACTGGGGGAAAATTGCTTTTTTTTATATTTTTCTCAACTACAAGATTGCAACGCTTGTTTACTGTTTTCACTGAGCTTCGCAACACATCAGTATCGGATGGAGGAATTGGTGTTTCTCAGTAATTTTCCGAAGATAAATTTTCTCGGGAAAAAACACGGATTTTTCTTCCAATTTTTCGGGGATCTTTTTCGGTTTCTTATCTTCTTTGCGGAAAGAAACAAATCAACGTGGCAGGTTTCCAGCGAACACGTGAATTTTTTTAAACGAATTTTTTCACCCTCGGTTGAAGAAACTGAAGAAATCCGCGGAAAGAAATGGAAAAGAATCGGTTATTTTCCAAGCCTTCAAAATTATATGCAAACTTCCCTGCACTGACCGCGTCTGTAATATCATGTTTACATTGGAATGGATTTTGAATACCGCAGTTCTCTCTCTCTCTCTCTCTCTCTCTCTCCATCTCTCGCCAGTAGCTACTCACAGCTTATTACGTTCGTGCGTCGCTGCTAATGAGAGCTTATCGCGTGCAATTAGCCGGCGAGGCCGATGCGAAGCAACAGGTGCCGCCGCATAGCGCCGTTACGCGCTTTGTAATTTTAGAGACGCGCCGCGCCTCGTCATGTAATTCGACGGCGGCGAGGATGTGCAAGGCGAAATCGCGACCCTCGGATTCGATTCCGAGAGATTTTCCACTCCGCCTTTCGTTCCCTCGCGGGAGAAGATTAGGCGCAAATCGCGCGAGTGGCTCACCTGTGTGCGCGTGTGAAAGAAAGAAAGAAAGAAAAAGAGAGATGCTCGCGGAACCCCGTCGGACTCCTCGTGGTCGCTCTCCTCCGACGGCTCCTCAGTCGGCCTCGGATCTCGTTGGAAGTAGCCGCGGATTTCCGCGGCGCGTAAAAATAATTTCGCGGCGGAATAAAAGAAAACAAAAGAGGGGCGGGGGGGAGGGAGGGAAGAAGAAGGGAGTGCGAGGCGTGTGGAAATACCAACGCGCGGAATCCGTCGCTTTTCCTCGTGTTTCTTACACCGGGGCCCCGGACGAAAACAGCCCCGGCGACGTGCTCCGGCTTGTGCGTGCGTCCGTGTATGTGTCTCTCTCTCTCTCTCTCTCTCCCTCCTGGGTATTTCATGACACAAATATCTTCTCGGCAGCCTGGAATTCCGCTTTTCCTTTTTCGCTTGTCCCGACGAACGGCGCCTTTCGTTCTCCTCTTAAAACGTGTCCCCGTGTCGCCGATAGAAACGTCCCTGCTCGCCGGCGAATCGTGTCTCTATCTCGCGTCCAAGAAGTCGAGTTTCTTTCTCTCTCTCTCTCTCTCTCTCTCTTTCTGTCGACTGTCTTTATCAACGGCACATTTTGCTCTCTTATTGGTTCTCTCTATCTGTCGAAACACGGCGCTCCTTTCCTACCCGCGAATTCTTCGATTAAATTGAAATTCAGGTCTCCTTCGGAAAGCCTGACGGAATAAGATTCGACTTTTGATGATTCGCTCTCGGATAATATCCCACTGAAATTTATTCTCAAATTAGTAGAAGTTCAAGTTTCCCTCGACTTATCGTCGCGATGTGTTCACTGCTTCGCCGCATTTCCCGCAATCTAATCAGTCGAACGAGTTCGTCGCAGGACACCCGCATCCGCTCAATTGCGTCGATACCATCGTTGAGAAAAAAAGAGAAGAGGGAAAGGAGAAGCACTTTTAGCACGAGCGGTTCGGCCGATCGCGCGAGAATCGCGAAATCGGGGAGCCGGAACGAATTCGCGCGGCCACCATCTTCGAGAGCGCTGCCGGCTGCCCACTCGCATTTATTTGCATTTCGCTCATTTAAGTATAGACTTGTTTTCGAAAATCCCGAGGAGGAGAGCGGAGTTACTTGCCAAAGACCGTCACAGAAAGAACAGAAACGGTGTAGTGAAGTGCCGGTCCGGTGTAATGATGGACGGGCCGAAAGACGTAAGGAATGAGAATATTGCCTCGTGTAGAAGCTCACGTCGTGAAGCATGTCCCACTTACTCTCACTTAAACGCGTAAATAAAATGTATCTGCCAGGTAAATACACCGTGCATCCAAGAGCGAGAACCTCGTCGTCTGAACGTCTGCGAGAAATTCGCGGGGCTTTTTTTAGACGGACACACTCAGCTACGCTGAGAGAGAAATACAACTATTTTCGGGGACAATATCCTTCTTTTTTATTTTAACCACATAAGAATACCAGTTGCAACATGCGCGTAAGGTTATTGTCATCGATCCTATAGTAACTTACTAAAAAGATGGTTTTCTTGAATTTTTGTGGTTAAAAAAAGGATATTGTCGTCCTCGATAATAACTATATTTTTCCCTCGGTATACGTAATCGCAACTTATCGAGTCGAGAATCGACAGATAAGTGGATAGATAAATAAGTAGATAGCTTTGTTAGATTTGTTAGAGAGATTGATCGATGGGCACGGACACGGAGAAGACGCGATCGACATTGCGTAGGCGAGACGAACGCGCCAGAGCGGACACACTTTTCTCCCTCCGATTGACGCGTCACTCAACCTGACCCGCCGTCTCGCCAGGTGCGAGGAGACGGAAGAAAAGGAAACGGCGGAGAGAGAGAGAGAGAGAAAAGGATTATTAATTCCCACTAGCACTTTATTTTCCGCCGCGGTGGCCGCGCGCCAAGTACGAATTCCACGCGGCGACGAGACTTTTTCCACCCCTCCGGGGAGCCTTTTCCGATCGAATTGGCGTGTCGTACGCGCCGTTTGCCAATCGCGAACTCGCGACAGCGGTTAAACGCACGTTCGTCCCAAGCGAGCGTGCCGCGTTAAATGACAAAGGAAGTCGACGGTAGTCTACGATAGAAAAAAAAGTACATTTTTTCCATTTTTCTTTTTCTTTCATCAGATATCATTCATGCCGATTTTTCAGTATTTTTAGAGCCTAATTTATTTGTTATTTTGCAATATTTTTACCCGATGCTGTGTTGCATTTTGCTGTGTTGTTTTGTCTCTTCTGTTTTTTACGCAACGTTTTTTCATACTCAGGAGTGTATTTTTATGTATATTTTTATCTTAGGTTAATCATGTGATAGATTTATTATCTGGGGATAATAGACGCGTATTAATAGTCGTTACGTGTGGAAACTGTGTCACGTGAGATCACTCGGATCTGAGTTTTCCAGTCGCGTCGCGATTGCAAATGTAATGTCGGCCATCGTATGATTCAACTGAAAAACTCATACAAATTCAAGTCTGCGTATCTCATTGGAAACTGGTTCCAAGCAACGATCATTAACGAGCGTTTTCCACGCATACCGGCGCGCATATACACACACACACACATACACATAGCCGGGCGTCTTTTTTCGCAATTAAATTTATCTAGCAAAATTTCATCACGACTATTGGCGGGAGTGAGCGCGTGGCACGTTCCTCAGTGCCGGCTAATTATGTGGCACTCTTACGTGGCACGCCGCACAGGTGTCCACCGTATTCCTACGTAGCTGCCAATTCCACGATGTAACGGGTGTCGTGGAGCGATCGACCGCGTGGGAAATAGATCGGACCTTCAAATTGGCCTGCGCGGATTTTGGCAGTTTTCGACGAGAAAAATCCACGATGACGTGACATCGCGCGCGCAAGCGCACGTGCACTCTGGATTCCTTCTCAACGTGCGCTCAGTTGTTGCTTCTTAGTTGTGTGTAACACGTAATCGTGCGATCGTAAACAAGGGATATTTCCATTCCGATTCTGAAATTCAGATTTCTCGCTGTTGCACACAGACCGGCCATGACAGTCTTAATATTTATTAAGTTGAGGGCCGTTAAAAGTTTTCTATCACATATCTGCATTCATGTAACGGGTGAGTGCAAAAATTCGTGCCCGATTCCAATAGATGTCATTGGGAAAGTTGTATAGCGTCATTGATTGTTATGTATACGTATTGCACATCTATGGGCGAATGACATATTTAATGGTTATTTGAGTGAAAGACTCGTATGTTTTCATTGGACACGAATTTTTGCACTCACTCAATGTTATTCTTCTCATAGCCATAAATTCCATTTCCTCCAGCCAAAACGCGTTTGGTTCGTTCACTGCAAATGCAATCAAACTTTTTTCCCGTGTGCCGGTCTGTGTATTTGTCAGATCGGCGATGGTGTCGATTGTACTTTTATTGATTTTTACGCGGAAAAGCACGACAGCTTGACGCACGGAGAAAAGACCAGGAACTTCTCGGCGATCACCGTGTAGAAGGAACGAGGGGATAACTCACTTCGACCTGCGCGTTTTACTCTTGAAAAACGGGTCGGCCGGCCGGGTTTATAAATACGAGAAGATATGCCACAGAGAGAGAGAGAGAGAGAAAGAGAGAAAGGTTCTTCCCTGCGACGCAGGGGCGAAGGGAAATCCGAGTTCCAAGAGTAACGTGTCGCACCTGTCGGACTCCTGAGAGGGGCGCGTGAGCGCGAGGGAGTCACTCTCGACGCACACGTGTACACCCTTGACGCGTTTTCCGGTCGCCAGGTTCCACGGTCTCTCTCGTTTTTTTCTTTCTCTCTCTCTTTCTTCTTCTCTGTCTCCCTTCATTGTCGCACGCGTCGCGCTCGGGGGCAGTCATCGCCGATCGTCGCATCTTCGCACTCTTCTCATCCGCCTTTTCTCCCTCTCTCCGAGGAGGAGGAGGAGGAGGAGGAAGATCTCGCCGACCGACGGAGAGAAGCGTTCGCGGTCTCTGGACGCGGCCCAAGTCGCTTATCCAATGAATTACAAAATCGCCAGGTTTCTGGGAAAACTTCCGGATCGCGGTTAGTGTGCGCGTCTGTGTTCGCGTTATTACGAGCGCTCTTGGCTCGTCGTCTCATTATCGCGAGCCGCGACGCCGATGGCCATCGTTACAAAAGACCCCGCGAAGAGCCGCGTCGACGGCCGTTAATAGCGCGAATCGAAACTCCGACCCCCTACCGACCGATTCCGACCGATCGACCGACGACCGAGGACGCGCTCGCCGAGAGTGCAACGACAGTGTACTTATACGGCACCCGCAGGTAGGCCCTGCCAGGAGGATGGGGGCCCACGATGGGGGAGTGCCACTGCTCTAACATCACTATCATGCAGCTGTTCCACGAGCTGAAGCAGCAGTTCCCCGCGCTCCCTGATCACGTCGTCTCCCAGTGCATCGCCCAGGTATACAGGTGGCCTTGGTCCATCAGGAGTGTGGCCCTATCCCCACGTTCCTCCCCCCCCCACTCCCCCTCTCGCAGATCCCGCGGCACGATTACGCGGGAGACTCGCTCGCTAACTTCATCATCGATTCCCCCCGGATCGCCGGCCGATTTAACGACTAACTGTGTCCTCCCGATCCGCCTAACGTCGTTTACGAACGTTCATTTGGTAACATGTAAATGTACTACCGTCTGTTAAGGTGGAAGCACCAATGGACACGTACCTATTCTGGACATTCTTATTGTCTTGGCCTTTAAATGCGAATATTGAAAGTAAGCATTTAAATACCAAGAGATCAACAACGGCCATAGTTAAGTGCGTGCCCAACCATACTTTCATCGCATAGTATTCTCTAGATTTCTTGGGGTGAAATTCCACTCGATAAAAGCAGTGATCGGCCGAGTAAGTAACAAGGTAAAGAGTAAGTAAATAATCGACTCACTGTCACGACGAATTGGAGTGATTCTTCACTTATGCAGAGTGAATTCTCTACTGAGCGAGATCGTCGAGTGAATATCTTCGCTCTAAAGCGACGAGTAAAATATTCACTCGTATGTAGTGAACATTTATTCGAAGCTCGGAGTGAAATATTCACTCTCGCGATTCCGAGTAGCAGGATTTCCACTTCATTATCTTATAATAGATCTTTCAGTATCTTTTAATATCCCGAGCCGAAATTTCAGTTTCTGCGTTAAGTCTATTTAGTTCTACATTCAGTCTTCGAAGGTCTCGTATTGCACCTCCTTTCGTGTTATAAACGGCAAGATATTTCCGTTTTCTCCACTTGAAGACTTAATGTAGAACCAAGTAGACTTGATGTAGGGATCACAATTTCGCATATTAATTTCCTTATCGCCTGATCGAGCCTTCACTCGTCCCCCTCGAGGTTTCACCCCGAGAAACTTAAAGAACGCTGCCCCCCCCTCCTCCGCATCTTCCTTCTCCCTCGACTGTGTATCATGCATCGCTGAAACCACCTGCACGAGCGTGGAACCTGTGTGTGTGTACGTTCTCGAAGCACACGCGACGTCCCGAAACCAACGGAGGATCCCGCCCTCGCCGTCATGGGTCGGCGAAGAGGAAGAGAGGAGCCGGCGTGGTTTCGGGACACACCGCGTACATCGGACCCTGTACCCGGCACATGCACATACTCGCGAGCGTGGCGAACACGATTGAGATCGCACGCACTTTAGCACGCCCGGTAAAAAGGACCAAGACGAGAAAATCTCGGGGAAGAGTCTCTCGCGCGAATAGGAGAGAGAGAGAGAGAGAGAGGGAGAGAGAGAGAGAGAGACTGCCTTCTCTCACTTCACGCCACGTCGTCCTCCGGGGAATCGTCGGAAAGTTCGGAGCGCAGAAGTGGAGCTGACCCAAGGTACGTGTGCGTTGCAGAACAGTCACGACCGGGAGACATGCGCGAGAAGCCTGCGGGCCACCCAGGAGTCCCGTCCGTCACCGGGCGCCTTCCCACCGCCGCCCCCTTGCGCCGGGATACAGCAGCCACTGCAACCTCAGCAAGCAGCAGCAGCGGGAGGAGCGCCGACGGAGCAGCAACGCGCGTCCCATCAGCGTTGCTGCGCGATGAACCAAGTGCAGCGCGGCAACAACGTCGTCGGACGTCCCCATCGGCCGGCGTCCTTGGACATCGGCATGACGCGCCGGTGCCCACTTGCCAGCTGCAGCCGCGCCTCCGGCGCGACGCCGGCATCGGCGAGCGCCACCCCGACGTCCGCGCCTGCCGCCTGCACGTCGCGCGGCTTCTTCGACGACTGCACCGTCAATAGCGCCGGCAACGCCAACGGCAACGCTACCCCCGGCTTCGAGCTCAACGTCAACGTCGCCTGCAGCCCCGCGGGCAATCGCGGTAAGCCCGTGTGGGACTCCAGACGTCTCGGGGATTGGAAATTGGAGCTCCACGAGCCGATTGCACTGAGAGAGAGAGAGAGAGAGAAAGAGAGGGAGAGAGAGAAATATCTGGCATTTGCGCATACCGAACATTTGGTAGTTGTTACGTTGTTAATGTTGTAATATTGTAAATATTGTGTATTTCTAGCGTTTGGCATCTGGCATCTGCGACTGGAATTGCGTAGTGAATTCATGGTAGAGTCGGGAAAGCTATTTAAGTAAGCGCTACTGTGATGTTAATGTTAATAATCTTACATGCTTAAAATTCTCCCCTTTATTTTTCTAACTTATCAGAAAGTTAACTTAATAATTTGTAATTTATAATATTGCTATTATTTTTTTGTTAGAAATAAAGAAATGTGGCCAGTGTAGAAACGACAAATTTTAGCTGACAAATTTTAGTTAAATCAGCCAGCTTGTTCTCTCGGTGTAATTTCGATTCTTGGCTCGCTTGATCCCGATTGGTCAAGGTCTTGGGTCCGCAATCCTCGATCTCCAATATCTAGTCTGACACGGGCTTTCACGGACAAGTTCGTTGTCGCGGTCGAAGAAAGCGCGTACGCTGAGAAAAAAAGAGTTATTAAGAGTTTATTTGTGAAATATGAGGTTTATTTCACAGGAATAAACGTTTATTTAAATACGGCGAGATAAAGCTTGATTCCTAAGCGAATAAACCGATTAATAAGAAAATTTAGGTATACACTTCACAAAGATATATATTATATATATCCCGTCATCACGATCAAATGTTTTTTTCTAACCAATAAACATCGAAGAAAATATCACAAGAAATATTTACTTCACAAAATTTCAATTTCTTTTTCTCAGTGTATGATGATTCTTTCGAGTCGTACACTGAAAGAAAGATTTGACAACAAGTACCAAAATTTGGTTAATATATGCCGAGCAAATGTTTGATTCTTGCAACTAAATAATGTAATCCTAATAATAATAACTATAATATAACTAATAATAACTATATATAGTATATTATACAGGGTGTCCCAGCATAAGGAGAACACTTAATATCTGGGGAGTTTAAAATAAGGGGACTTCAAAATCAATCGGAAAGAAATAACCATAAAAGAAATTCTCTTTCCACCGTATTCCTCTTTCGGACAGTTCAAATTGTGCTCTAAACACATTTCTCATATCCTTAAAAACCAAAGAGATACTTGGGTGTTCTCTTTATGCTAGGACATCCTATATAGTACAATTTGCAGTAATCAAACATTTGGTCGATATATATTAACCAAATTTTGGTACTTGTTACCAAATTCTTCTCTCAGTGCAGAAATTGAAGATATGATGAGATTTTTTCTCATGTAGGAAAATTTTTAATCAGTGGAAACTCCCCCAACTTGTTCAAGTAGCGAATTATATGTATATACATATACTATATATATTATATAATTATATATATATATATATATATACATATTCGACTTATTACGCACTTTTTGTGCGTAAATATAAGTCACGATGATCGAGCGCTAATATTGAGTGTAAAAAAATGCGACGTGGACCGAGATGGTGTCGAATCAAAAGGAATCGCGGATACCTCGCTCGTGGTAATCTCAGAGACGAGGAGACAAGACTAATGCATCGTACGGGTATCGTGAATAATCAGACAGAAGCGGTTTGTTGGGCAACACAGAACGCGCGCTCTTCTCAAGAAGGCAGAAAATCGTTTCTCTCTTGCGACGTGTCCCTGTAGACTGCGGACGTTGTTAGAGATCTCATTCTCATTAGCTGTCATAAGGTATGCTCTCATACGCTCATGATCATCCAAAAGTCACTCGGACCAGTCAAGGTTCGCAAGTTCGATACACCGTTGATCCCGGCAGAACCACAAACATACCGTCGACTTCTTTTGATTTTAGCCATCGGCTCTAAAACCGACCACGCGTAGAAGTGGAGTAGTAGTGGAAGGAATACATATTTTTTTAATAATTAAAAAGAAAAAATAAAAAGATAGATAGAGAAAGAAAGAGAGAGATGCTCATTCGCAATTTCACGTCGACAGATTTTCGAACGGTACCGACGATCGGTGCCTGTAAACGAAGCGACCTCGTCGTCGTGCCACGGCCTCATTACGCCGAACCTCTGTTAGCCATCGGGAAAACCGGCGCGCAGATCGATCACACCCGAAGCTATACGTCGGTCAGTTTGACCCTCAGGCCGCCCTCCTCCGAGCCGCAAGCACCGATCGATATTAGGTCGGAAGGATCGAGCCTGACTTACTCGACCTCGTCCTTGGATCCGCGCGGCTTCCAGAGCCGCCTGCAGATCAGCATCGGTCCCGGGAACGTCGGCAGCGTGGCGGCCGCGAGGATCAGGCCACCCATAGTCCCGAATCGATCCACCGACCCGATCAGACCCAACAGTCTGATACCGCCGACTCAGATGAGTCCGCAGCGGCCGCCTGGTACGTTTGTTTTTTCATCCACTGTTGGTCTAAGCTTCTCGATTTGCCGCGTTTGCGCAGTTTAATTATCTCGGAGAATATATTCGTCAAGGGGAACTCGGAGAGAAGAGAATGTATAAACTTCGTGTGCATTTCGCGACACAAACTCCGAATGTTTGTTCGAAATAGGTATGAAAATACATTAGAACGTCCGGATATCCATACTTTCCGTGTCTACTTTTCCCAGTTATCTCGGAGATTGTATTTGCCAAGGTGAGAATTTCAGAGGAGAGAGATCAATCAAACGTTGTGCAATGATCTTGGAATAAATTAAATTATAATCTATTCTTCTCTGAACTTTGGGGAAGAGAAGAGACATTTATATTTAATGGGAAAGCCACGTATGTGCTGAGATAAACAAAATTTGGACTTAAACATCACCGTAAACAGCAACGTAACATCGATGTTATAATTCTCCATCCAACGATATAATTGTTGCACGACACGTTGTATCGTCTTTGTAATGTCGTGCGTGAAATTCGACGACACCGATGTTATGTGTTAACCAGTGTTTGCCGACGGGATATTTCGCGCAGAAGAGAAAATATGATATTTCTGTTCGCTCTCAATGAGCAACTAAACGTGTGTGTGTGTGTGTGTAGGACAGATAACATTTAAACAGCGATAAGATTAAACACGCCCCGAGTCGATGGTGGAGGGCCGCTCCTCGGAGTACATTCGCGCGTGTGTCGCGTTTTCAGGGCTGCCGGCGGGACCCCCGAGTCAGCTGCCGAGGCCGACGACGACGATGAGCGCGCCGACTACGCCCTCCGGGCCGTCGACAACGAATATCGTCCAGACCTGCAGTCTCCCGACGACGCCTTCCGCGATGAGCGGCGCATCCTCCCTACAGCAGCCTCCCTCCAGCTCCGCGGAGAAGCACACGCAGACCGCCTCCGATCAGAGATTATCGCCATCGAGCCAAGGTAGCGTCGCCGTCGTCCCCGTGAACGTCCTCTTCCGACGTAGCCGCGGCGGCGGCCCCGCGTTAACGTTCCCGAAATCCGCCCGCGCGCGTATATTTACCTGGAAGTCATTCGGTCGCACGGTACGCTTCGCCCACGCCCGGCCAACGCCGAGAGAACGATATTTACGCATTCCTGACCCCACGCTCCGGTCTATATATAGCCGCACCCGCGGTTACAACTACGTGGACCACCTGATCCGCGGTTTTTTTGCTCATCGGGGGGAGAGCGGCTACTGACGCGTTTCCTGGACGTCGTCGTCGACGTTAAACAATCGACGCACCGTGCTCCTCCTGTTCCGCCTTCTCTCTCTCTCTCTCTCTCTCTCTCTTTCATACACTCGCTCGCTCACTCACTCATATATGCGTTCATTAAAATCGTCCTCTTGATCTTTCAGTGGCGGAACACCAAAGGGCATTGGTCGAGGCGCAACTGATCAGGAAGGAGAAGCTTGCCAAGGAGTTGAGGAACGAGAAGGGACGACTGGAAGTGATGAGGAAGGAGCTGCAGGCGCTCGCCAGACCGCAGGACCCTTCGGTATCTCAAGTAATCTACGTTATCTCTTCTTTCCTTTCACGTCGTGCATGGTATAAATTTCTAACTGACGTCTTCAAGGCATCTGAAAATAGTAGAATGTCCTAGAACCGTCTATAACCGTCTAGTCGTAAAGTGTACAATAAGACGTGTAAGCTAATTGATCAATCACAGTCGATTATTCGTGGACTGTAGAAGACCGGCCATAATAGCCGTGAAGTATGCGATAAGTGTGCAATAAGACGTAAGCGATAAGCTAATATGACCAATTGGATTCTTGCAGTCTAAGAATAACCGACTGTAGCTGATCGGTTATTAATTAATTAACTTACTGCTTTTATAGACGGTCTTGAGAATCCAATTGGTCAATTATCTTACTATTTACGCCTGCATACTTTACGGCTATTGTAGACAGCCTTTTATACGATTTCCACACACCTCTTGAAACTCTTAGCTTGATCGGAGTCTGCCAAAAGTCACCGACGACCAACTCGGACTACGATTACCTCAAAGGCGTCTTTGAGTGATAGATAAGGCGGATGAATACCTTAAGGCGTCTCGACGCGTCTCACCAGAATAACGTATCTTAACGCACCGACCTTTTTCAGGAGCTAAAAAGAAAGCTGAAGAGCGAGATATACCAGCTGCAGATCGAGTGCGACCGACTCGCCGATGAGGTGGATCAATGGTCCGACACACGAGGTACGTCCAATCAATTCTATCGCGCTGTTAAAAAAGAGGAAAGTCGCCCTCGCGGCTTTCCAACGAACGGCTGTATAGCCAGTGCTTGTGACGACCATACATACGCATGCATGTGTATACAACACTTGCAGTACCATTGGGCGAGACCAACGAGGAGTTCTACCAAGGCATTTATACCGGCCAGCCGTTGCCGACGAGACTACTGGCGAGTTCGAATCCGCCGCCGCCGTTGCCGAACCGGCCGCCAGCCTGGCTGCCGGAAGGCCGCTCGGCGACGATCGGGCAGCACGACAACGACCGGGAGGAGCGGGACGGGCCGTCGTGGGTCTGCAACATGTGCACCTTCGACAACCACCCGCTGATGAGCAACTGCGAGGAGTGCGAAATGCCGAGGCTGTTGGACAACGGCAGCGCAGGTATGCAGCGACGCGTGGCGCCGCTGCCGAGGGCGAAAGTCACGCCGAGCACGCCGTTGGCGGCCGCTAACGCGAATGCGAATCGGGAACTTTGTCTGCCCTTTCTGTCGGAAGAGTAACCCCGTTGTCGCCTAACAGCATGCCGTCCGTTTTGCGATGTGTCCCGCGTGAATGTTCGACCGTACGGATGCGAATAATCGCATTGATCGAGTGTGCGATGAAAAATGCTTGAGTGAAAGTGATATTTGAAACCACCTGTAGTTTTAAGAGACCGAGTGAGAGGGGGAGAGAAAAAGATAGTGTATGCGTGTGTGTGTACATGTATTGTTATAGCAGAGTTACAAGAATTGTACCTAACGACGGTTGATTGATTATCCTTTTAGCATAATAAAGGAGAGCGTAATACAGGAGAACCTGCGCCTTCGCTCTCTCACTTATTGAAGACACATGTGTGTGTGTGTGTGTTCGCTGACCTTAACGTCGCATGATGAATTTAACGTGATCCCCTCACTCGCGCACGAATTCCCCCATTATGCACACCTCCAATGCGTTAACTCCTAAGTCGTTGTGGCGTAATTAGTTTTTCTAGCGACAATGATTGTCCCGGCTATAAAACTCGAGGTAAGAAATACATGCATTTCATACTTTCACTCGCTTGAGACGAGTTGAGACGGAATGATGTGTATATATATCGTGGAAGATCGAAAAGCGGAACGCTAACATCGTTTTCTGCAATTTTGCAGGGGAGACGCAGGATATTCACATACGGGTCACGCATCATCACAATTTCTCGCCAAGGCGTGAGTATATTCCTCGGCCGCGATCGAGCGCGTTACTGTGTCTTCGCGAACGCTGAGACCAAAAAAACGGAAATTTTGTGAAATAAATCCAGGGCATTTTCTTCGATATCAGTTCGAAAAAGATTTAACCGCGATGACGGAACATATCTAAATTTTCCTATTAGTTTACTTGCTGTGAATACAAATTTTATTTCATGGAAAAATTTTCAAGTCCTTTTCTCAGCGAACGTGAATGATTACAGCACTTTCGCTGGAAATAATCGCGGCGCTTTGCTCTTTTCAGATACCGTGCACAGCTGGGTGGTATGATGTGAGCTGAATTAGAAACTCAAAGAGAGAACCGTGTGTGTGTACATACGTTATTTAAATTAAATAAACAAATTGTACATATATATATATATATATATATATATATATATATAGAGACTAAGCGACTGTAATAGAACGGTATGGTTAATATAATTATTTATTTTAATTTTTTTATTTGCAACTGAGCGTACGTGTCGCGTTGTTAGAGTCGTTATTTAGCGACCATACAGAGAGCAAAGTCTCCATCTACACATTCACACTTTGACTAATCGGAATTGTTCTGACAATTATATATATATATACACATATATATTTCTCGTCTTAAAAAAAATCTGTATACATATAGTTCCTCGCGTGGTTCGCACGCGTATCGTAAAGTGACATTCGCAACGTGCACAGAAGGTACACATCTCTTTCTCTCTCTCGAACATAAAAATACAACGGTACTTATCTCCTTAGACTCCTATTTGTACAAAATTATCGCACAATACTTAAAATACAAAGTATTTGTAATAATTGCAACGACGTTATCCCGTTATATGGCCGTACCCCTCTCAAGATTCAACTTAGTCTCGCGCGTGTACTCGCCATAGAATCTCTCCAGTTTCTGGTTGAACTTGGCGTTACGTTCGTTGATGTAATCGATGTCCGCGTCGTCGTTGTGCATCCTACGCCTGCTGTACTTTTCTCTCTTTGCGATCCTGCGAAAAGAAGACAGAAGGAATGTAAGTTTATAAAAGATGGTGCAATTTCGGCTGCCAAGTCGTTAGAATAGCTCACTGTTTCTCCAAGTTGGTGACCATCTTGTCGACCGCCTCTTTCCTGTCCTCGTGTAAACCGTGCAGTATGGTGTTGCGATCCCCGTAGAAAGCAGGTCCCAATTTTTCCTTGGACTCCTCGTACGCCTCCATATTCGGCTTAATATTCTTCACCAGCCTGTTGTACGAACGTATCGCCGCTTGTTCGTAATCGGAGAAGCCTGGGTCTGGATTCTGTTTGCTTCGCTTCTTCCTCGCTATTTGTTCCGCTTCTGTGGCAGCTATTTGTAATAATTTGTTCCGTTCATAATCTTCTCCCTGTTGAGTACACAACACAAAATGTATAAAATGCAATAATTTGTTAGTTTTAAAAGCTTGGAAAAATCCAGTTTTATTTTTGGTTCTTTTTTACAGATGAATAAAAAAAATAAGAAAGAATCTGGACTTTTTTTCTATTTTTCCACTAATTTTTTCGGTTTTTCCTAAGAAAAAATAAAAAAAAGCAGCTTTCAAAACCATAATTATATATATATATATGCAAAAATATCAAGATTACATAGGTAACAATAATACCTTAGCCTCAGCTTCTTTCCGAGCAGCTTCGTCCTGTATTATCCATTCAGCCTTTCTCTTACGAGACTCCCAATTGGCAGGTAGCTTGTTCCTCTTATCCTCCTCTACGACTTCCTTATGATTCTCCACTCTCGCTTGGTTCTGTCGAAACAACACGCTATAAGTTAGTCATAACAATAAATTTGGGTAAAATAATAGTTAAATTCCCAGCGATACAAACACTTGAAACTAAATCAACGTCATTCTTAAACAAAAGAATAAAGAACATTACATATACAGGAGCTTACATTTTTTTCTAATTGAGTAATAAAACTAACAAAACCACGGGTTATTCATAAGTTCGAAAACAAATTCCAAGATTTGTGAAATGTCTCGGAGAGGTTAGCTTTGATTGATTCGCAAATTTACCCTTTTAATGTGGAGATCCTTGAGTCTTTTCATTCTTTCCGCCTGTTTTGCTGTAGCGGAATCTGCGGACGATGCACTCGATATGGTTTCGTCCATCTCTGAATCAAAACAAAATATGTTTTTCAAGCAAACTCGTAAGTGCTACTTGTTACCTTTAAAACCAAATATAGAGTCTGAATCTGACGTGCGGGTTAATAGACCCGTTATATCTGCCGACTTTTAGTTCCAAAATCTCTGCTACGAAGCGCTACTGTACTTACCGAGGATTCGGAAACGTGACACAGTTCAACAGTGGGGTTAGCCGTTGTTCATTTCTCAAGTAGTATGACTCCACGAATGGTCAGGCGATCTTCCCCAGTATATTAATATAAAGGTAAAATTCAACAGGCTGTAACTTCGACAAAAATGACGATAGCAAGACGCTTCGCGAAGCATTTTAAAGCTTGAAGTTTCTACTTTTCAGTAATATTAAATTCGCAATTCTATTATTGTTTATTATTATGATAAACCGAGTTAAATGATAAATGGCGATTATTCACTATTCAACCACATCTTTCAATTGTGTTTTTATGCTGAAAATTAATTTCCGTCAAAAATATGATAAATGAAGTTCAAAGAGAAAACTTTAAACTTTTTATTCACTGCTTGGCGTACGTGGTGTTGTGGCGGCTATACTCTATCTCGCTTGCATGCGAGCTCGCCCCCCACCACACGCCGGCGAGCTAGTCTTTTGTCACTGCACGGCTAGTCTTTTGTCGCTGTACGGCAGTAGAACAGTGGAGACTAGCCCGCCGTTAGAGCTGCATCGTTCTAGTGTTTCTCTACGTAATAAAAGAGTCTTTCTTATTCTCTGTGCCGAGTACTCAGTGGGCACATGCCTAGATTCTTCCCGGGCTATCCCTTCTAACCTTCACAGTGGTACATCGATTCTTTTGTCTGCTGTGAACGATCAAAATTAAAATGCCATTTTTACTCCAACATTAAATAACTCAGCGCACTGCAATTTGCGAGTATGTGAATCAAAGAGGCAGATTCGTGCTTTTACGTGATATAAAACACATTTGTCTGTTTTTTTTTTATTTATACGAAGCAGGTCGGTAAACCTTATGACAAATTTTAGCATTTGACGGATCTTGATTTATTCTCGTGTAAGATTGTAAAAATTAACACTTTGCGGGCCGCTGTCACGCTGACGTGACTTGCTCGCCAACGGTTATCGGCCGCTGTCACGTTGGCGTGACTTTTGAAGGCGAGCAGTAGAACCTGCGTGAATCTCGCCGGCGGCAGCGTAACGGCGCTTCGATAAATGCGCGGCCCGCAAAGTGTTAATTGAATTTGACAAACGTAAATATAATCAAAAACTAAAGACTTTGCGCTGCAAAATGTTTTTTGAACCATTTCATTAGCGTTATTCTTATGAAAGTTATTGCCAGTTAACCTTTGATTATTTTTGTAAACTTGATGTCTCTGGTTATCTTGTCATAATATATAAATGCACATATAATTTATCGCGTAATCAGCATTTACTTAAATGACAGTGTGATTGAAATTTCAATTTAGCTCTGTCTTAGAATTTTTATATCGATAAAGGTGACAAAATTTTATTACGTTTAAATAAAAATCAATCGAAATATAATAAATATGTCATTTTTTATTTCTTCGATAATTATATAACGCTATGTATTATTTACTGCATTACTGAGTTCGCATTACACTCGTTGCAGCTTACTTTGTATTTTAGTATCCGTGAAGATCCGATAAGCATTGCATAACCTCGCGCAACCTTTCTCGTATGCAGTGCAGTCGCAGCGCATCTACAAAGAACGATCTTAAGGAAGCACAAATGTTGACAGTTGTAACCGGGAGCACCCTTGCAAGAAGCGCAGCCGACCACAGAACGAGCAGAGAAACCAGGACCGGGACCAAAAACCCGAATGAGAGATTTTGTTTAAGTTTTATATTTACAATTCTAGTTTAGATCATGAGACGCCATTTTTGTCTGTAACAAATAACACATTATATTACACCATTATATTAGACATTATATGAGATAATATATTAGATATTACATTAGATCAGTATATTAAAGGACTATATGAGAGATTATATTAAACTATATTAAACCAAGTGCCACATTATAGTAGATTAAGTTTATTATTATAAGTAGCGCCTGTGAACCTGCACAGAGGAAGACGGCACAAGGTCATAAAGATGAGGAAGATTTCATGATAATACAAATAACAAGATTTAACAATACCAATTTGAAGAAATTGCAGGTTAGTACAACCACTGGCTCCAGTCGGCCTAAAAGTAAGGTTAGGACATCTCAAACACTGGCTCCGGTCGGCTAAAAGTAAGGTTAGGTCATCCCAGTGACTGGCTCCAGTCACTTAAGGAGCAAGGTTATATTAATCCGATCGACTGGCGACAGCAAAGCAAGAGAGCGACAGGCGCCAGCCGAACCGCAAGACAGAGATGCGCATGCGCGGGACCCATGGGGGTTCGCGGCTATTCGCTAAAGCTAGCCGCGAGAAAGAAATATTGTCACGCGCTGATAAGTCAGTTTAACGGAACAAGATATACGTTTTTTTCGCTAATATATAATTTTTTATTTCTCGAGGGAACTTCAATTTCAGTTCATCTCCTCCATCATAAGCTCGACGGTACCGATACCGTCCGGGATCTTCATTCCCGTCTTCAAGATCGGCGCCGCGCTCGGCAGAGCGGTGGGCGAAGCTATGGCACTCTGGTTCCCCTCGGGTGTGCGTTACGGCAGGATAATTACGCCTATTACGAGGTCTGTTCAAAAAGTATCGCGAATTTTGTGTTTTTTCAAAAATTATTTATTTATTCATGAATATCTATTTTGTCAAAGTAATCCCCGTCAGATATTATACACTTGTGCCAACGTTTTTTCCAATCCTCGAAGCACTTTAAAAAATCAGTTTTTGTGATCTTGTTCAGCTCCTCCTTCGATGCCGTCTTTATCTCCTCAATCGTAGCGTAACATCGTCCTTTCATGTGCCTCTTCAGTTTCGGGAACAAGAAAAAGTCACAGGGGGCCAGGTCTGGGGAATACGGTGGCTGCGGCATTATTAGTGTGTTGTTTTTGGCCAAAAATTCGATGCTGTTTTTGGTCGAAATTGAGCAATTTTGGTACGAATTTCGCGGCGACCCGTCTCATACCCAAATCATTAGTAAAAATCGAATGGCACGAGCCAATCGATATATTTAGGTCCTCAGCAACTTCTCTAACGGTGATTCAACGATTGGCCAATACTATTTTCTTCACTTCATCAATGTTTTCGTCTGTTGTTGACGTGCTCGGGCGTCCGGCACGCTCTTCGTCGTTCACATCTTCTCGGCCCTCTGAGAACATTTTGTACCACCGATAAACGTTGCTTCGGTCCAAGGTAGCTTCACCATATGCCACAGTCAACATTCGGAATGCGTCCGCGCACTTAATTTTGTTTTTCACACAAAATTTGATACAGATTCTTTGATCCATTTTTTGGAATAGGCAAAAATCGGAGACGAGCCAAAACACGTCCAAGCAAAACAGCTGTCAAAGATAAACTGAATATTCAAAATGGCCGAACTTGTCGGCATAAGTGAGGGACATGAGTACCAACATAACGCCACAAAAAAATCGAAAATCGAATATACGTAACCCGCGGAAATTCAAAATTCGCGATACTTTTTGAACAGACCTCGTTTGCTGTTACAGAATATATGTAGAAAGTAAAGAGCAAAGGAGAAAAAACGAGCCCGACCCGATTAAAAATCCGAAGAGCGACGTGACGAGCGAATCGCATGTTTGCTGGTCGAATCGCCCTTCGGGCATAAAAGCAAAGGTTCCGGCCCTCTCATGTTGAACGACGACAGGAAGCGAACGGAGGCAATCGCTGACTCCAAATTTCGCATCGTGGATTTCGGCTCGCTTCTACAAACGTATGTAGATAGATGCAACTGCGACAATACGAACGACGCTGTGTGTGTGTGTGTATAAAAGGGCCCCCTCCTCGCTCATATACAATCTAAGCCGGCGGAAAAATAAAAATGGAATGTATTTTCGAAATTGTTTCTTTTAATAATCATATAACAATGCTCGTTATATATTCACGATCAACATACATTACTCTTATCTATATGTTGCAAATTACATAAAAAAGATATCCGTTTTGCATTTTCTAAAATTATAAAAACGACGGTAGCAAAAGTTTCTTGTGTTTCTTTTTTTTTCTTTCATTCTTTCTTTCTCTGGAACTGGCGTTGCGTCAACGTCGGAGCACGTGTGCGGCGGCGGCGTTATTACGTTTCCTTACGGTTTTTTTCTCCTTTTTTCTCTCTCTCTTTCTCTCTCTCTCTCTCTCTTTTTTACGCTAAAAACGATCGGTAAAAAAAGGACGACGCGCGCGATGGCGATCATAAAAGTGTAACTAAAGTTTTTCCTAAGTCACTCTGCGGTCTCTTCGTCGGGAGGAGAGGTGTTTCTCTTTCGATTATCGGCGAGATTTTCTGCTCGGCATTGTTCCGCGAGAACGGCCGAAATTCCGTCGCGCTAACGGAGGAACACGTGTGTCACGTTATTGTGCAATTCTTATCGCGCGATGAATGCACTATCGGAGGACGAGAGCGCACGCGGACAACTACCGAGGAAAGAGGGAGAGAGCGACGGGCCCCCCCTCTTTGTTCGCTCGGTGGCTCGCGGCAGTCGAGGGAAAAAACGAGGAAAGATCGGTTTTGACTCTTCTCGACTCGGAAGGGGGTGTGGTGGGATAAACGTTACATTATGCGTCTCATTAATCTTTAATTAGATAATTAATTCACTATTTACGAAAAGTCATAATAAAAAGTAGTACTCTATATATTCGGTATTTCAATAATAATATTGTAATAATAATTATTATATTCCATAGCTTTGTCTGCAGTTATCGTCTATATCGGATAATTAATTAATTAATTCACATAATGTTATCTTCATCGTCGCGCGCGCGCGTGTGTGTATTGGGGTGTGTATGTATTATTAAACCGCGGCCTACATCATCCTCAGATATACGTTCGATAAATATAAAAAAAAGGAGACAAAAAGAAACAAAAATCGTATATAATATATATTTATATATATAGCGTTGCGTATATCTCATTCGCCTCTCTCTCTCTCTCTCTGTCTCTCTCGCTCTATCTATCTATCGCTCGCCCGTTCGTTCGCTCGCTCTCGCTCTCTCTCTCTCTCTTTCTCTCGCTCTCTCTCTCTCTCTCGCTTACAATAGTAAATCGCTACGAATGCCCCGCGCACCAACGCGTCCCTCCGCGGCACCGACTTCTTCCGTGCTACAATATTCTCGCACGCTTCCACGAGCAACCGTCCGTGAGAGAAATGCCTAGAATGTCGGTTGCAAGCACCATTGGTTGGTATTGTCGATCGACCGTGTGTCGCGCAAGGGTCCGACTATCATCGCAGCCTCGCGTCGCTCGCCCTTGCTCTCGGGCGCGCCACGGAGACGGCTTCAATCGTCGTCTTCAAGGGGAAGAGCATCGCTCGATCGTCCGTTTCGTCCTCTCTCTCTTCCTTTTTTTTTTTTTCTCTAACGTGTCGCGCACATTGCGGCGAGACGATCGGCGTGTTCGGCAATATTAACAGGACCTTCATTCTTCGTCAATAATTAAACGTCGCGGGCGCGCGCGCGCACGTACACGCGCGAGTCCTCGCGTTGGCGCGCGCAGCGTTCGGAATTATGTCTCTTCTCCGCACTCGGTAAGAGTTCACTACCACAAAGGTACACCACTTTCAGATTTACAACACTGCCCTAAACACAGCCATACTAAGCCAAATACTTTTGGGTTTTTGTTGTTTACGATTATTTCCTCATTTTCACTAGTAAAATCGTTTATTTAAATCTACACTCGATTACCGTTCCCCGTTTTAACTTCCACGCGTCACCTGTTTATAGTTTTTCTATTTTCTCTCATCTTTTCTCCTCTCTCTCTCTCTCTCTCTCTCTCTCTCTCTCTCTCTCTCTCTCTCGCAGCAATCCTTTCGCTCGTTTTCCTCTCGCTATTGTACACTTTCGAAAAGAAACAGGAGAAAGAAAGGAAGGAAAAGGAAAACCGCGCACAATCGAATGCGCCCGCGACTCCGTTCGATTTTCTACGAGGTCTCAACAGCCCGACGACGACGACGACGTGCAATACACGAAGCGTGTCCGATTCACGAAGGGGAGAAGAAATGCGGAGGAAGAGAGCCGGCGTGATTCTCGTTCCTCGAGAGTCAAAGCCCTTCGGAGGATCGGGCGTTCGAAGAAGTGTTAGACGCGTTTTTCCTCTGCGAAACGCGAGCCAACTGCAAGGAATGCGCTTTTGTAGGTGTTTTCATGGTTTCATCGAGATTTCCCGTCCGTGTCTTGAGAAATAAAAACAAAATGGAACAAAATCCCGGGGGGGGGGGGGC